TGATAAATCCTATAGTTAGACTTAGGTTTCCTGACTTATTCTTCATTTCTGCTGCTGTAGACTCAGACTGCTGGAACACAAACTGAGCACATTTCCTTACTCTGTAGCTGTTTTTAGTCACGCTTCTCTATATGTTTGTTGTAGTTATTTCTATCAGTAACGGGGGTTTTCTTTGTCTCTCTTCCAGAGGAAAACACACCTGGACCAGTTCTTCTGTCTCTCTCTGTGTGTCTCTTTCCTGTCCCTCAACCCAGCCGGTCGAGGCAGATGGCCGTCTGTCCTGAGCCTGGTTCTGCTGGAGGTTTCTTCCTGATTAGCAGGGAGTTTTTCCTCTCCACTGTTTGCTCAGGATGGGAGACTGTGATGAAGTGATTCAACACAATCCGCTGGCTTCTTTAAATTTATTGTTTTTTTGTGTACAGTGCCCTGAGACGACAATTGTTGTGAYTTGGCTCWATATGAATAAACTGAATTCATTTGAATTGGCGAAAATTTAATGCAACACTGTATGGAAATACATCTTGTGACATTGCAGAAGCTTATCCAAACAATGCCACAGCAAATGTGTGCCGTAATCACAGCTAAAGGCGGCACAGCAAAATATGTGACTGTTTTTTTTTTTGTTGTTTTTTTTTTTTTGCCAGGCAGTGCGTTTTGCAATGTTGGAGATGATGAACAGCTATTAGTTCGGTTCAATATCTGTAAAACTGTCTGAGTTTGAGTAATTTTTTAGTTAGTTAAGATCACTTTTGTGCCAGCCATCATGAAGAGGTTATCAGCTGCAGATAGGCACTTGGATAAATGCATTGTCCTACCTCGGCAGTGCATACGTGTGGTTTTGTGACCTTCAGTCACTCTTTTTAATGCTTGYGAAATTGTGATGAGCCCTCTGAGGTTTTTTTTAATGGTGTTATGAAAGCAGTGCAGCAATTGCTTCCTAATGTCTAAGCTTTATGACCTCTAAATTCTTCATGGGTGGTCCGGTTTTTTTTTTTTCAAAGTTTTTTTTTTAATTATTTTTAGCAAAAACACAAACAAAAAACAAACTAACAAAAACACACACCCTCCCATCTCTCCCCACCTATACCAGATATGCTAACAAAACATAAACATAAATACATCTTGTATTCATATATCTGTAAATATGAAGCACAGGTTTGTGTACAAAGAACCATTATTTGACCATTAGACAAAGTTATGAGTGGTCTGGTTTTAAAAAACGAATCAGTTTTGGAATCAGTAAAGCTTTATGGGTTTAAAAAAAGAGTAAAACAGCTGTAAAATAAAAGTTCCTGCTGTAGATGTATGTCTACTTTTCATTATGTAGGGAAGTTCATTATAATCTGTCCAGTGGTTCATGTGATATTTTGCTAACACGCTGTTTTTGGAGGAATAAAAAAGGCAGCAGGTTCAGGTAAAGGTCACCAGTATTAGAATGGGTCCAGTGGAGGTGGCTGTGGGATCAGCTGACCTCAGGGTGACCCTGATAACCATGTGTGCGGGTTTCATACACCCCCCCCCCCCCCCCCCCGCCAGCAGCTGCACGCGCACACGCTGCGCAGCAGCAGTTCGTCACAGAGGAGGGGGTGGGCTACTCCCTCTGAGGTTTTAATATTCAATGAGCTCCGACCAAACAGCAAACASGGGCGACATGACAACAGTTTCATCCTGAGGTCGGGACGGACAGCTTCTTCATCTTCCTCCTCCTCCYGTGAAACTTTTCTCGGGTACAATGGTTCCGCTGCGGACGGGTACCGGCGCTCCGGTACAACATGTAAATACGTACTCTGACGTCGGCGATCATGTGGTTTTTGGCGTAGATTCTCCTTCTGATCCCTTCCCTGTCGCCTGTTGTCTCATCGGCCGACAGAGAGGTTCGAAACCATCTCGTCGTGGTTCTGAGTTCGGCGGACCCTCCTGGCTCGGACCGCAGTGCCTGAACGTGGCGCCAAAGCGGCGGACAGGTAAGAAACGGATCAGATCTGCGGCTTTTCAAGCGACCTGTGTATAAAAAAGAAAAAAGTTCAAACTGCATGTAGTTGTTGGTTCGTGTGCGAGGCTCCACACACACACACAGACACACACACACACACACACCTACCTATGTTTAATGCTTTAACTTGTCAAGCCGCGTGAACTTTGCTTGTTTCCACCTGAGACACGTCCGCTCCGACAAGTTAACGAGACGGTTTTTATGGTTTGTGTGTCTGTGTGAGTTTGAGCGTGAAGAAGGCGGGCTGTGGAAACATCGTGTCTGACTTTTCCTCCTCCCGTGTCGATATAACCAGCTAAACATGGCCGTCTCTGCCGACATGTTGTTACGTCGGTGGCGAGAGAAGCGGGRGGAGGCATTTGGAGGGGGCAGAGTGTTTTTCTCAGCCCCTCGGTCACATCTCGGGGCTGGTCGGGGGGACAGAGTCCGCCCAGCAGCCGGGCTCAGCCTTCAGTCCGACAGCAACTTTCCCAGTCCCATGTTGTTTTTTAGACTTTGATTTGCGTGTTGGAGGCGGTTCGATGCCCTGGTGGTGCCTCCTCCCCAATCACAGACCGAGCGGCTCTTATTCATTATTTTCTGTCTGTTCGGAGTCATGAACTGTTCTAAAAGTCCTCCGTGATTCTCCTTTTCATTATTATGGTTCAAAACTCAGGCTTTTAAAGAGGCCGTGTGGTTCCTTCTGGAGCCCAACACCTCCACCTTAAAGCTCCCACTGACATGTTGGTGTCAAGTTCCAGTTAAAGGAAATCACTGTCAAATAAACCAGTGAATTTACAGGTAAGAGATGCAGCACCTGCCACATGTAAGCCTTGGACTGGTTTTCCATGATACCAACTCAAAACCTGCACCCCCATAGGGTCAGACCAGAACTTTATCTGACTTCCCACAAGGTCAGACCAGAGAAGCCACATCCTAAAAACTAAAGGCCTGGACTAAGCCTGTCTTGTAAGGTTGCATAGCTGTGGTGGCCATTTTGACTTGAACTGACTCTAAAGGTTTATCTGTTGTAGACGTACGTTGAATAATTAAGATTTGACAGATCTATTAAAGTCCATCCACTAGTTGATGAATTATTTTGCTAACATCACAAACAGTGGGGACCTTCACTCAGGCTGTTTTTTTTTTTTACAGCATTAGTCACGTGACTCTGTGCTCTAGGGATGCACGATATTGGCTGTGTCCAAAACGACAGGCCGGGTCCTCCGGAGGACCGAGACTACCCGGTCATGGCGGGCCGGGTCCTTGGTAGACCAGGAGGACCGGAAAAAAAGAGGCTGTGAATTTGGACGGTCTAGCCTCCCCTCCTTACCCCGGCGTACGTCATGTCACCTAGCAACTGTAACGACGCTAAACAAGCAAACTTAAATCAAAATTACAA